CCACGCTGCGTCGTTGAACTTCCGTGACCTGATCATCCCCAAGGTGTGTTTCTCATCCCCAGCTGCCAGCCAGCTGTTTTTCTGTCCGTTACGCTGTATTTCTGACAAATAATTGCTATTCTTGCAGGGCCAATATCCCTTTGCGCTCAACTTCCCGGTTGTTCCTGGCTCCGATGGTGCCGGTGAGGTTGTCGAGACTGGCTCCAAGGTGACTCAGTTCAAGAAGGGTGACAAGGTTGTCACTCTGTTCAACCAGCAACACCAGTACGGCCCTATCGATGGCCGCGGTGCCAGCTCTGGTCTTGGTGGTGTTATTGATGGAACCCTCCGTCAGTACGGTGCCTTCAACGAGAACGGTCTCGTCAAGAGCCCTGAGAACCTCAACCACCTCGAAGCCAGCACTCTATCCTGCGCTGCTCTGACGAGCTGGAATGCTTTGTATGGCTTGAAGCCTTTGCAGCCTGGTCAGACTGTGTTGGTGCAGGGAACCGGAGGTGTTAGCATTTTCGCTTTGCAGGTAAGATTCCCATGCCCAGCGCTTGTAGAACACACCAAGGCTGACGCAGATACCTCACTAGTTTGCTAAAGCGGCCGGCGCAAGGGTCATTGCTACTACCTCCTCTGAGGAGAAGGCGAAGAAACTGAAGGAATTGGGTGCCGACCATGTCATCAACTACAAGACTGAGCCTAACTGGGGTGATGTGGCCCGCAAGCTGACGCCTGACAACGTCGGTGTGGACCACATTATCGAGGTCGGAGGCAGCGGTACCCTCAACGAGAGTTTCAAGTGCATCAAGTTCGAGGGTGTGATCAGCATCATCGGATTTGTCGGTGGCGTTGACCCCAAGTCCATGCCCAACGTGCTCGATACCTTGAGCCATATCTGTACTGTCCGTGGTATCTATGTTGGTAGCAAGGCTATGATGAACGACATGGTCAGGGCTATTGAGGCCAACAACATCCACCCGGTTGTGGATGAGAAGGTCTTCACCCTGGAGCAGACTCGGGAAGCCTACGAGTACATGGTGAGTGGCTTGTTCGCATAATGTTTTGTTCGATTGCTAACATGAAAAAATAGTGGGGACGCAACCACTTTGGCAAGCTGGCCATCAAGATCGAATAAATGCGATAGTGGCGAGGCAGATCCCTTAGATACGACGTAAATTGTATGATTGCACGAATACCAATATAATTTATTACAATTTCATATATTGAAAGAATTATACGAGTAACGTCAATAAAAATTTTCCTTGTAGGTCTAAGAACTACTATATAGCGAACAGAAATGCACTGCATACCTAGTCCAGCAACGACACGGTGCTAGCTGTGACAGTAAATCTAACAAAAAGGTACTTGCAACAAAGGGCTGATTATCTACCATGGAATCTGAAATTCAAATCAAGTTGATCAACAGCTTGTTGACTGTAAACGCAAGGCCAACAAGGTCATCCTGCAAGCCAATCAAGGACGAGGAAGGTCTCCCCTCCCCGCATCGCCACCTCATCTTGCGCCTCGACTTCTTTCATCATCATCACCGCAACGACTCCAGCTTTCTCCATCCGTCAATCCAAGTTGATGTGAGCTTTCCAGCTTTTCCGGCCAACCTTACTTTTTCACATCCAATTCCTGCCAATATCTCCGGCAATCAGTCCAGATGCAAGCCGACACAAGACATAGATCGACTTTGCCGATCTACGGACCCGATCGCAAGAACATCAAGAAGTCCCAGATAAGATTCATTCGTCCGGCACAGATGAGTTTGCTTGCTCGAGTAACGTGCTATCCTCCCTTGGGTCAAATAACATGTCACCAAAGGGGGTCCAGGAGCTCGGGATCCACGGAACCTGATACGGTAGATAATAACACCCGTCTTCCATCACACTGTCGAATGATAGCTGATCCCGATAGATTAATTTCACCGTCGTGCTAGAATCAAGCACCTCATTCCCCGTGCAACCCTGGGATATCCAAATATGGCACAACATCTCTAGTTCTGAGTGGACCGCAACTTCACTCGAGAGTCGCGGGTCTACCGTGGCACCACTGATGAACGGCAGCGAAGAAGAATATCACTACTTCCGTAATGTCTTTTCGGGGAAAATAGCTCTCCCCTCGGATCCTGGGCATGCACAATTCACTGTTCGCTATCGAATCAATCCAGATGCCGAATGGCAATGGGTGAACCAGCAACAGGGTGCAAGTGATGGGATATTGGTGTTCGGCTCACAGAAGCCGGTGTTCACTTCGCTGGAGACGACTCCAACAGAGTTCAGGAATTATTTTGAGGGAATGTCTGCCGATATCGATATTGAACCAAGAAAGAGCGAATCGCCTGGTTCAAACTTGTGGCATCTTTCGGGGAAAGCCCAGCCAGCTCATGCAGGTGAATCCGGGTACAAAGAGCTGGCTCTTGGAGTTCCTACATCAATCCTGCGGTATTTTTCCCTAGTGCGGATCTGGGCTCCATGGCTCGGCCCAAGACATGGACAAGGGAAATTTGAATTGTCTGAAGAAGCCATATTGTGCTCGTTTCTGCGGACTGACGGAGTACACATTGTGCTTCTTGGGTTGTCTGGCACGGATAATGTCTTGACCACTTTTGGATCAGGCGAAAATGGGGAAGTAATTGTCAAATCTCTGAGTGACAATCCAGAGCCGTCTACATTCCAGATACTAGCATCAGCTGCGGAGGATTATGAAGTTGCAATGAGCGCAATCGTATACGAAGCTCGCAAGCTCGCAAGACCATATGCCGAGCAAGAGACATCTGATCACAAGCGGGCCCCGGTTTCGCCTCCGCCGGACGATATAGTGGTGGTAGAAAAGGATGTGAAGACACAGTGGATGGCTGAGTGGTACGACGGCTTGACCTACTGCACTTGGAATGGACTGGGTCAAGATTTGACGGAAGAGAAGATCCTTCGTGGTCTTGACTCGTTGAAGTCTCATGGAATCCAGATAGCTAATCTCATCATTGACGACAACTGGCAAACGCTGGATGAGGCCGACTCACAATTTAAGAGGGGATGGAGGCAGTTTGAAGGAAATCCAGCTGCTTTCCCCAAAGGTTTTAAGCAGACCATTGATGCCATTCGTCAAAAGCATCCCAACATCGAACACATCGCAGTTTGGCATGCGATACTCGGCTACTGGGGAGGCATATCATCGGAGGGTGATCTTGCTAAGAAATACAAGACAAAAAGAGTAGAGATCAAAGTGCCTGCTGTGGGAGGAGCTATTTCGCATGCGTTTGAGAATGGCTCGGTGCTGGCAATCGACCCAGATGATGTCCAGAAATTCTACGACGACTTCTACAGATATCTTGCCTCCATTGGAGTTGACTCCGTCAAGGCAGACGCCCAGTTCTTTCTCGATCTGATCAAAGACCCAGAGGACCGGAGAAGATTCATCACCGCTTATCAGGACGCATGGTCCATCTCTACGTTGCGACACTTCAGCTCAAGGGCTATATCCTGCATGTCAATGTTCCCACAAGCTATTTTCCACTCACAGCTCCCAACGACCAAGCCTACTATTCCTCTTCGAAACTCAGACGACTTCTTCCCTAATATCGAGTCATCCCATCCATGGCACATCTTTTGCAACGCCCACAACGCCCTGCTGACCCGCTACCTGAACGTCGTTCCCGACTGGGACATGTTCCAAACAAGCCACCCGTACGCCGGTTTTCACGCCGCGGCACGTTGTGTCTCCGGAGGGCCAGTATACATCACGGACGAACCCGGCAAGCACGACGTGTCTCTCATTGACCAGATGACTGCCAAAACCATACACGACGGAACCGTAATTCTCCGCCCAAGCTTGATCGGTCGTGCCATGGACATCTATCACGACTATAACGAAGGCCACATAGTGCGCGTAGGTACATATACAGGCTGGGCCCGAACCGGCAGCGGCATCCTCGGTCTCTTCAACATCTCCACTACCGAGAAGTCCACCATAACTCATCTCCTAGACTTCCCAGGAATCCACCAAGACTCCCAAGGCGACTACATCATCCGCGCCCATACCAGCGGCATGATTGCCTCGAACCTGCGCGTCCCGGACACAGAGTCATCCCTAGTCACAGTAACTTTGCCACCGAAGGGCTGGGAAATCCTAACAACATACCCAACTTACACCTTCCACCTGAAGGCCAAGAAACGTGCCTCCACAACATCCCCAGAGACGAAAGTAGCAGTCTTAGGCCTAATCGGAAAAATGACCGGCGCCGCAGCAACCATCTTCTCCGATATCTACGTTGAAGACAACGGCCGACTGCGATTGGACATCAGTCTGAAGGCTTTGGGCGTACTGGGGATCTATTTCTCCGATTTGCCGGACTGGAGTGTTGATGACAACTTCATGGTCATGATACTGGGGAGACCTGTACCGAAGAAGACTGTCTGGAAGGAAGGTGGTGATGAGGGGAGAGTGGTGGCAGTGGACATCCTGTCTGCGTGGAAGGAGATGGGATTAAAGGCTGGGTGGAGCAATGATGTCCTTGTTGAGGTGTTTGTTGGTTGAAACATTCATAGAGGGATTTGGGTGATGAGACGGTTACTGCTTCGGAGGGGATATTCCTTTTAGAAGGTTCGAGTCAGTGGATATTAGCACAGGTATAGTAAAGTAAGAACAGACTCAGTATATCCAGATATTCGCCAAGCAAGACGATTAATAAGAGTGGTTGTTCTGAGCAAAGTATCCAAGGAAGCGAAATTACTACTCAATAGTAGCTACTGGTGGCATATTGAACCCCTAGGAGCAACTAATACCAAACGCTAGATGGGGACTAAGAGTGTCAGTGCATATTACATGGGCTCAACCTTTCATATCATCTAACAATAACACATATATCCCATTCTGCCAATTATCACACTACAATTATATCACAAAAAATAACAACAAGCTCCTTAAGACCAGGATCAGTCAGATCGCCAATTTCTCCCACTCCACAACTACACCCCTGCACCACTTTCCCTCCCAGACAAATTAACCAATTAATAATCCCCCGTCGGCAACCCCCTAACCGGCACATACTGGCCATGAAACCCAAACGCCACGGGTCCAGCCACCCTCGCCCTCCCCAACTCGACCAAGCTCCTCGCATCCAAACAAAGCAGATAACTCTTCCCCGTCAACCCATCTAACACCACACTAAGCAGCACCCCATCATCTTCATCTCCATCCCCCTCCACACCATCCGGATTCGGAACGAAGATCGGTTCCCCGGGGGACTGGGCATGATGGGACCATACCTTCGTTTCTCCGGACTCGTTATCGAACTTGATGATGCTATCGAAGAGCGTGGATTTGCCTGTGTCTGCGACGGCGTACATGTACCGGTGTTTGCGGGTTACGTAGGCCGGGTGCATGGTGGGGAGTTCGGGGGAGAAGGGTTTGCAGGAGGTGGATTCGAGGAGGGCTTCTTGGGGGTTTTGGGGTTCGGGGTTAGGTGCTGATGATGATGATGATGATGGTGATGGGATAGCAGGGAGTCGGAAGCGGGAGACAGATGAGTAAGTCTCGTCTGTTCTGGGTTTGGCGTGGGGAGAGTCGGAGAGGAGGTACTCGTAGTAGAGTTTGTGCATGAAGTCTGTGGTGTCGAAGGTGACTAGTTCGGCGACGATGTCGGTGTCACCGTTCTGGGTTGTTTCCTGCCACGCGTTGATGGTGTGGAAGCAGAAGAATGGTCGGCTGGTGTATGTGGCTATGAGACCTCGTTCGCCGGTGCGGTCGACGACGTACCATGTTGCTGGGAGGGAGGGGTCGAAGGGCTTGATGGTGTCGAGGAAGCTTGCGGAGTTGGAGCCGAAGTCGGCGGGGGAGATGTGGGCGTTCCAGACGCAGAGGACGACGTAGTCTGCTGTGATGAGGAGGGAGTGTAGGTATGCTGGGGTTGCGGGGAAGGTGGCCAGGATGGTGGTTTCGCCGGTTGATGCGGAGGTGCGGAAGATGCGGTAGGTGTTGACCGGGCCAAATTCCAGGTTGTAGTTGAAGATGTCGCCGGTCTTGGGGTCGGAGCGGGCGTGTGCGGCTGTGCTGGGACCTTTCAGGTCGGGGTGGAGGTTCTGCTGGCTGGCGAGGGTCATGGGCTCGAGGGTCTCCGGGTCGAGCTGCTTGAAGGCGTTGAAGTCGGTTTTTGCGTGCAGGGTTTTGATCCCGGAAGATGTGTCCCAGCGGTGATTGTTGGTGGAGTTATCGGCGAGGCCTGGCATGTTGATGCTCAGGGTGACTCCGATATTTGCGGCCGTGGAAGTGGGTTTCTCTTCGGGTTCGTACTCCGTTTGGACCTTTTGGTATACGACCTTGCAGGGATCTCGCTTTTGGCCGAAGCTGAGTTTGTGCATCTCGCCGGTCTGTCTTACTTGCTCGATGAGAGCGTCGGTGGAGAAGCGGGAGTTGTACAAGACGCGCATTGATGGATGGGTGCTGTCAGGGGCTAGGAGCTGGAATCGGTGGGTTTCACTGAAGCCATCGAACCAATGGCTGGCGTGAAAGGTCTCACCATTGACGGTGTCGACCTTGTATTTGCCCGGTCCGGTGCGATAGAGGACACCAGCTGCGTAGGCGGGAATCTGGCCTTCGACGGGGAGCTCGATGGGTGTTTTCTCCTCGTAGTTGGCGTCGAACTGTGAGATACAATGTTAGTGAAGAAGGTAGGAGTGTCAAGGAGAAAGTCTTACGCCTTGGACATTAGGCCAATTGTTGAAGTGGTCTTCAATGCGAGTTTCCTGTATGGCGGACATTGTGTGAGCAAAGCGCTGAGAATGCTGCGTGTGTGGTAAATTGAAGGTGGTTTCTGTTGGAGTGATTGATGATGAATCCGAGAAGAATGAGAGGTGGGTTCACGTACTATTTATCTGCTTGACTCTAGCGAGGAGTGGGTTGTGAGGTGGCTATGGTCAACTTTGTTGCTGCTCAAAGAAATGGCCCGAGCATAGCGGTGGGGGAATTCCGCCGGAGTTGGAGCTGTCATATCACCGTCTTGCTTACGGTGGAGGGTTGCCTGTCTCGCAGTGGTGTCCAGAAAAAAGTAACTTCTCTGACCTGCATTCGGTATTATCCATTTTTCACATGCCTGATAGAATTCATACGCTGATGATAGTCACAAGCCCGCAATAAGCGCAAGAGCCGAAGTCCTTATATACAATCTAACGATAGTAGTGCTTTAGAAAGCCCTGCCATGCTCTATTCGCTGGTGTTCCCAAACTCCAAGTAGATGGCTTATTCCTCGAAATACCACACTTTTAATTGACGCCCCTGTTCGTAAAATGGCCGTCTCGATTCATCCCTCTGTCTGGACGCCGTCGCGTAGTGCGCGAGCCTTTAGTCTCGTCGGATGGTCTGGATAGTATGGCTGGAGCCCTAGATCCCATGTGGGAAGCGCTGAATCGGGTATTGAGTTTATGGGTTCGGGCTGCGATTGGTTGAAAGTCGGCGAAGGGGTGTGCTGGTTGCGCGGAGCTCCCCCGCTCTCCTGCAGTCGCAAGTAAGTGCATTCCTTCCTCCGCGTGGCGCATTCTAAGCATGGCTGCCCCCCATCACAGGATTTCTTTAGCCTGGCGCAGACATCACATGCATGCCGTTCTTTGCCGCCTATTCGAGGCCCCGGGATGGCCTGACCGGCATGTATACGGGCAGAACAAGACTTCCAGTGTCGCCGCAAGACATCTCTTGACAAGCCTCCAACGTCAGTTCATGCATTGATCCATTATGCATAGCATACACACCCTCGTTTGTAATGAGAGCCGCAGAATCCACATCTGAAAGGCTTCTGTGAGCTATCTGAGCGCCATTCATCAGCACCACCCACGGTCCTTGCTTCCAAAAAGTGTGTATATCATACGGGTAGCTATATGTCGCTTGTGATGGTCTAAGCGATGAAAGACTGCCGAGCAAAATTGACAACTCCATACCCCGTCCATGGCTCGGTTGTCGGTAGAGGCCTGCATAGTTGTGTAACCCAGGAGGCTGGAGCAAATAAGCAACACGCTGTTGGTTGTAGCTGCATACACTAAACAGAATTGACTGGAACCATGCGGGGTCGGAGCATTCGATGGCTGCTTGTGACTGAGCTTGGAGCGGGAATCATCCACACGGGCGGGATCAGGGACCATTGATCTCCTGAGAGGAGGAACAGGAACGAAGAAAATCCAGGAGCGGAGCTGAGGAGGGCTCCGAGGGAGATGCCCCTCCCGAGTCAGCAATAAGCAGAGTGGAGGAATCCCGCAGGCTACCGAGCCAGTGCGGATTAGTGATGCGGAAGTGGAGGTGGAGGTGAACCGAACCTAGGATTGGAAACCCCGGCGGCATTCCCCCGCAGACCCGAGGCCGATTGGCCACATCGCGCCTCAGCCACCACGGTTTGTTTCCTGGATAGCGAATCCAGTCTCACGTGGTATATGTATTTCTTGCTAACATATATCGACTACCGATACCATATGGTTCAGTCCAAATAGTCCCGTCTATACTGGCATCGAGGAGCCATCCGTGGCAGATGATATCGTCATCCCCTTTACGATAGTTTGGCACGGGAAAAGCTATTTTCTTGACGAGCGAGTCGAACTCAACACATTCCTCGTCATTGGAAAAGTATCTCTGCTTTCCCGACTCTCGCGACTTGTAGCACTGAAATAGTTGCCGTACAAATCCTTTGTCATCTCCGAGATGGTCCTTGCCATTAACCATCTCAAACTCATCGGCTGAATCTGCAATCAGGAGCCGTTCGAGTGAGGGCAAGAAGTCAGTTGACTGCCAGCCAGACCGAACATCGCGATCCAAGCCAGAAGGTGCAACAAGGACCAGGTGTGTCAGCTTCGAACACCGGCGGAGCCCCCCGATGAATTGCATGGATGTAACATCAACTTCGCACAGGGCGAGACGGCGCAGACGAGGCCATAGTGACCACACCGCTGGTTCATAATCCGCCTCCTCCAGTTGGTCGGAAGGGGTCTCCCAAATGTAGGGTAGCTTTTCCGTATCAAGGCAAAGGTCGTCTGCAGCTGAACAGAATTCCTCTAATAGTGTCAAGCGCTTGAACGCTTCGCGTAGCATGGGGCGCACCTCCAACTCGGGGATTGATGGGTTATAGAAGCGCAGGGGTAAATCAATCACCAGCCTGGTCAAGCGGTGACATAGGTAAAACGAGAGCGTTTCGATGTCTCGCGCAACCGGGAGCCTATCGGGCTCATCCAACACCAGTACAAGGCCAGCTGCAGTACTTTTCTGTACTTGTGCCCCCGTATCATTTGGCCTTCGGTTGACAAGTTCTGGTGGCTCACATTCGAGCAGTTGCCCCAATAACCATTCATCGTCAATCAGAAGACAGTGATTAATGAGAAGTCGTCTTGCGATCTGGCAAGTAAATCGCGAGACCAATGTCAAGTTGACCAAGGTATCGATTTCTCCTGAAAAGTCGGGATACGCCACCGGCGGATCTGGAGGGATGATAGACTCAATAATGAGTTGAATGATTTCGGGCGGAAGACGCATTGGCACCAAGGTGTCCCCGGCGATCTTGTCAGGTATGTCACTATGTGAAGCAACGAATGTTTTGTAACTGAAATTAGGAGGGCACGATCAACAGAAACAGAGAGGAGAAGTTGTTCAGAGCAAAAGTCGATCTGGGCGAATGTCTCTCATGGATGTTGGCGGGGGGATGCTCGAATCCTTCTGTCCGGCAAGCAAAGTCAACAAACATGTGAAGGGCGTCGTGTTCCCCGGTCGCCGTAAAGCTATATGGGATAAACTGCGAGCATAGCGGGGGATCCTAAACACCCAAGGGACTAAATACGCTGCCTAGGATATTCAACTCGGCAGGAAAATGGCCAGTTGTTGCAAAGATGCCCAGCTTCCTGGAGATCTGCCGGCGTCGTCCAGCCGGCCGATCTTGGCTTAGTGCCGGTACAGGTGATGGCTAAACCCGATCTAGCTTAGCGTGGTATCTCCCAATAGCCACCAGTCCATCTCGTCTTCCCATTTCTATATCTTCTTGTAGATACCTTTCGAACATCACAGTCTAGGATAAGCTTGATTATTATTGTTATTATGATCAAATTTATTTAACACATTATGGGAACGGCCGTTATCAAGGATTATTTCCTGTCACTGCTCCCCAGATATATGCCGCCCAGCTTCCCATCACAAGCAACACCAAACCAGTGAAGCAGCAGATGGAGATCATCCTGCTACGCTGGTAGTGTGTCACCAGATGATGTTCCCGAAGCTTGCCGATGTACTCAGCTCCGGAGGCCATGCGTCGCTTGCGGGTCCATTGCAGAGGAGCAAGATCCCGACCGATAATGGAACCTATCAGGAGGACGATCGAGACAATCGCGCAACAGATGGCCAGAAAAAGGTAGACCCGCACGGATCGACGGTAGGAATCATCATCAGCATCTTGAAGCGCACCTGTAATGATGCCGATAATAATCGTCATTCTAAAGCCATTGGTTAGTCCTTGGATTCTCCATGCTCGTTTGGTTGCTAAGGGGTCATACGCGTTATTCATGGTAACCTTTAGTGCGTACGCAGAGCCAAAGACCGACTGATGCCAAAGAGTCGTACGGATGCCGTCGATGATAGATGTTGGACCCAGTGAAACCGCAACCGCGTACATACCGAATGCTGCGGCTGTGCCTTGTTTGGACTCGGCGAAGTTCACCAATACCATGGCGATAAAGATCCCCAAACCGCACACGCATACTGCGATAATCCGTGAGTAAACTGTAGCTCAGCAGCATGAGTTAAGTACTTACGAACAGAGGCACGATGGCCGAGGATGTCAATAAAAACTCCCAAGCAGGGTACAAGGAAGAAGCCTGGCTTGGTCAGCGATATCTCTTGTAACGTAAAATCAGTTGATGACCTACCTGCATATTGGGCTAAAGAGCTGTACCATCCCGCCTTGATTGCATCGACATTGAATCTCTTCTCAGCCAACTCTGTGGCGTTCGAGCTGAAGACACTGGCGGTGCTAGTCTGGAACATTGAGAAGGCGAGGATAGCCCAGAACATCCACGGCAATTGGAACATCTTGCGGAGCTCGAACTTCCTGTTCTTTTCGGTCAGAGTTTCCTGAGTTGCCTTGTCTTCGCGACCACGGAAGTGTTTCTCGCAATAACGATTGAACAGCCAGAAGAAGCAAGTTGCTGCGTTCGTGAAAAGGTTCATGAAGACGGATGTCCAAAAGACCCAAGCGAAATTACCGGTTTTCTGTTCAGTGTCAGGAGATTGAAAGGCTTTATTGTTAATGATGTGCATACCTTAGCGATGATGTTTGCTGTTGATTTCCCTACAAACCCTCCAATCTGGATCGGTTAGCTTCATTATGTGCCGTGTGTGGCGATCTGCTTACTTTGCCAATTGCCAGTTCAAAACCAAGGGTCGAGGCGAATCCATTGCTTGGAGGAAACCACGACGAGAACATCTTGTACTGTGCCGTTTGGGTAGCAATGTCGCCCAGGGAGAGGATGATCCTTCCGCCGACCATGAACTTGAAGGATCGAACTGTGGTTGCAGCAGCCACTAGTATGGATCCAATGGTATACACGATATTGCCATAAACAATCATCCCTGTGGCAGATTAGATTTTGCAGACTGTGCGACGAAGGTATGGTATACTTACGAGCACCTCCTACTCTGTCGGTCACAATACCACCCGGCAGAAGAAGGACGGTAGCCATAAAGTTCTCACTGGCTTCAAGTAACGAGAATTGAGTATTCGTGATGTGCATTTGCTACACGGAAGGTCAGCAATGTCTCCAGAGTTGAAAGCAGTGTGTAATTACCTTCTTCAGAGTACTCTTCATCGCTCCTACCACGCCGCTGCTCCAGTGGGACCCAAAACTAATGCAGGAAATAACAAACACGGCAATCAGCTTAGCGAGCAACGGTGGCGGCCGTTTTCCATCTGCATTGTCCATTACTGTGTTGTTGTCTGTTGAATGGAACGAGTCTGAAGAGGTAGGCTCTGCAGTTGTAACCTCGGTGACTTTCTTGTCGGTCGCCATATTGCAAGGCGAGGGCAGATAAACCACCAACCAGACGCTATCAGGCTCACGATGAGTCTGATGATATAATTTGGCGGCCTTTGTGCAGTCGTTCCTCTTTTGCAATAATACTCAGCAAATTTTCCGTCGCACAAGAACAAAAGGCGGGCAGTGAAGAAAGGAATGGATCGACACAGTCTTTATAAGATTGCTAGCAGCAGGGAGCAAGCGTGCTCAGACAAGCTAAAGCTTCTTTTCTCACCGATCGGACCCATGGTGCCAAGGAGATACCATCAGATAAGATGCCCGTGTTTCTCCGACTGTCGCAAAAGCATCCCTTTCAAGGAAAGCCGCTTGTCTTAGGATTGCGATATTAGGCTTGGCATCTGTGAAAACCTCGATTTGCTGGAGCATGTGGTGTGCTAATATTATTGAAGCTGTGGCAGTAGTCTGCTTTCATTGGCCATATTCTGCTCATTGTGACTGATTGATAAGATTGGTGCCGTGATATGACCCACTCCACGGACAGGTTCCGTAAGGGAAAAGCCATGAAGGGAGGCGAAAACAATGGGTTGCCAAGCCTGTTCCGCTGCTCGATGATGGTGACTAGGTCTCAAACTCGTAATAGTGCCCACTCAGTGTGCGGATTGCCTGAGAAGAGTGCGCCGGTCGCTCATTTTGCCTCTTCCCCCGACGATCAAAACCTGTCGCAGGCCTGTTGGGATACAGACTTCAGGCCTCCGGTCTCAACATGCGTGCCCTGTCATCAGATATCATGTATGTGTGTTGATACTTGCCAGTCTTTCAACACTCGAGCTTTCAACATTTACGGTTCTTGCCTATGACAGGGTACCCTTCTGCCAAGCTACAAACTTTCAGCCTAGTTGACGTGTCCGCCATATGCACTCAGAATTAAGTATTAAGGTTAGTTGGAATGCTCCCCACCATAGCACGTGGAATCATCACCAGTCGGAACAAACAGCAGACGATTCTTCACACGTAATTACTTGCTCAGCTTGCTCGAGTGGATTGTTCCACCTTCCAGGGACCATGTTCTCGGAGAACTCAACTTCCGAATAGTGGGGACAATGACACAGGCTAGGGACTAACGGCCGATCCAGGAACCCGATCGGAAGAATGACATGCAAACGGCCAAGGATACTTGACTGACCAATAATCGATGAATCTGGTTTTTCTCGCTCAGAAGACGGGTAGTGGGTGACATGTCCTTTGTTTGTCCTTCTGATATTTTTCCATATTCAAGACGTTTTCTCTTGATCTACCCTTTCGACAAAGGAGAATGTCTGTCGTAGAGTGCCTACTGCTACTAAGAGAATAAACATGACAACATCTGCTGGATAACTCCGGAGAAGTCTTTCACATACTATATTCACAGATCAGCGGTAACTGAATATGCATCCTTCACGCCAGATTGAGTCAAAGGCACCAGCAGAACCAGTGATGAAGATAGCCCTGCTGATCAGTTCGAAACTCAGCATTATGATTTGTACCGCCATGAAAGACCTGCTGTGAAGATACCTTCCAAGTCCCATACCGTCGCCTGCATGATGTCTAGTGAATATATATAGGCCTCAGCAGGGTTCCGTGAAAGATCCCGCTATCTACGGGAGGTTCCATAAAGAGAAACTCTCCCACGCAGGTTCATCCATCAAGGGACAACTCACCCCCATATAAACAGCCTCGAGAAGGTCTGGCACTAGTTGGTAGATGCTTATCGTAGCATAACTTTACGCTTCGCAGCCTAGGAACTTCCCATTCCTTTTATAACAGCCGACGCATTTGTACTTACATTTAAGCGACTTGCCACTTGAACAATCCTTATTAGTTTCATTGGGCACCAAAGGTCTCCCCCCATCCCCATCGAAGCCCCAGACAAGAAAGGTATCACTCGTCATCAAGATGAAGTTCGACCGACCCTCCTCGCCCCTTACCATCGATGGTGGGAGGCTTGTATGTCGCGAACACCTCCTCGTGATCTGCGCTATGTGCTGCGTGGATTACAGCAAGATGAGAGAGGACATCGAGATGTGGGAAGCAGGCGATGACTATAACAACCATGTCTCTCAGGACATCCAAATGGAGGAAGCTGGTGATGTTTATAATGACAACAACAGTTCTACCAAAGCCACCAGGAACGAGAGACAACAACAACCCTCGATAAACCCTCGATCAATGGAGATTGATGAGCCAGACCGAAAGTCCAACAAGAGACATAAGGGCCGACACGGCAAAGAAAGCCGAATTCAGCCCGTTTTCCCGCAGAGATTCCTCCCTCCAACACCAGAGGATACTCCACGATCACTCTTCAAACCGCTCGTTTTCGTATCAGAGGGCAGGCCTTCGATACGCCGATTCGTTGGAAGAGAGAACCACTACCAATGCCTGGTATATACAGCTGGCGCTTGCCATGATAATTGGAAGGGGGATGAGAAGTATGCCAAAGCTGGCTGGTCATTCGTATACAGACCCCAGAACCCATCACGCAACATTACCGGTGGGGTTGCTGGTCGCCTTGAGTTGATGGGCCCAACTAGAGTCTATCATCAACAGACGAGAACTCGTGCAGAGCTGCGTGCTGTTATTGCTGCCTTGAAGTATCTGTCTCATGACGGCAATACGTTTGACAGCGTGGTTGTCGCTACGGACTCGAGTTATGTTGTCAACAATGCAACGCTTTGGATCCGCAAATGGCTTACAAGGGATTGGAAAAATGCTGGTGGCAGACCGATCAAGAATAGGGACTTATGGGAGGCGTTGCTGAAGGAGGTGAGGTGTTGCTATGTACAGGGAAGAGAGGTTCATCTGTGGCACATTGATAGGTTGCTAAATCAGGATGCGGTTAGACTGGCTAATTGGGCGACTGTGCCTGACTCGGCTCCTATCGAGTTCGTGGAGGAGTTTCCTCCTTCGTGATGATCGATTATGTGGGGATTTTATCTACGGTTCTATCGTAAGCCCTGCTTCTCTGGACGTCAGTTTCGGTAATAATACTCCTTTTTTTTCTATTGATCTGCAGCCATAATTGTAGTATATATAGAAACGACCGGCAATAGCAATCCTCTATTACGACTTTAACATGGGCTGAGCCCCATCAAGACCACCAAATTTTCCTCGGCAATTTTCCGAGGCCTTGAAATCTCAAGGGAAAGCACAGTGGATGGGTTGGACACGGGGTTTGCACCAAACAACTGCTGTTTCGTGGCGGCCATCATCGTGGTCGTGTCCCTAGAAATAACCAGCAATAGCAACCTTTGATGAAGATGCTAACATGGGCTGAGCCCCATCACGTTCACGAGAACCTCTTCAGCAATCTCTCGAAGTCTTGAAATCTCGAGGGGTAGTAGAGTGAATGGGTCAGACACAGGAATCCCACCAAACAACTGTTCTTTCGTAAAGCAGATAGAGTCATCGATCGCTAAGGAATCGGGTTTCGGAAACACAGCCTATTCATCCAAAATCAGTAAACTTGACTCAACAAAGAAGTAGAAATATACCTACCAGCTCACGAATAAGGAGGCTACCTGTGTTTCCACGTCCCCAGACTTCAATCCATCCTTTGACCTTATTATTACGCACCTTGCTCCACTTCAAGAGTATGACTTATTGTACTTCAACTGTGCCGCCTAACCACAAGTCTTTGTCGATTCGGAGACGTGGGAAACTTTCGGTCCATCCTGATTCAATCACAACTGATGGTATTCTATCGGGACGGGCGGAAAGGTATAAATCTGGCTCTTTCGACGAAGATGCGTAAGCACCGATAAATCTTTCAAATGCTAGATCTTTTCGTCAGAGAAATGGAGTTATTGTGCATTCTAAGACTCACTAGTTCCCACACCGAAGGCAATCTTGAGATGCTCTCCTTTCTTCACCGAGCCGTTATAAGCCCAATCCAACATGGTGGACATAACCCACTGTTGGTGAGCATTATGGAGGAAGTTCGGCATAACAAGGATCCACAGGGTCTTCTCCAAAGGATTGTAGCTGACTCTAAAGCAGGACACTGTTGGTAAGCTAATATGTATAATCATCTGGGCGCTTACCTAGATGTTCTTCTCTCGATTTCTGGATGGCTCCGGAGAAGGAGAGCGTGAAAGAACTCCTGGTGCCATGGTAGACGAGGTAGACATATTCTGAATAGATGATAGATGAAACGAGGTTGGGAAGGTGGATGGCAATTTTCTGGGGAGGGAAAGAAGTGAGGGAAGAAGGAAGGAACAAATTGCTGGATGAGGTGGGAAGTCTGTCATCATTGCCTGAGGTTTAGAAGGCAGTCAAGCACATCACTTGAATGTAACCACTTCGCCATTCACACTGAACCCGATTTCTCCATTCAAGAATGGAGGGACTTTCTACCTAAATCCCTGCTTTTTATGTTAAGTCTGATGGGGCTTGTTGACGGTGGGCTAGTCGCGTTGTTTCTTGAAATGAACGAACACATAGGCGTCCACTCCATGACAATATCTTCCTGGATCAATTATCGTACCGATAAGGCCTTCCATCTCACGTGGAAAATATCTATTACTGGTTAACATTGATCTATTTATTCCTTTCCTCTGGATAAGCTTTGTAATGATTTAGCATGACACTTGGAATGTGACATCCTGTGGAATCGGCACCTAACAGACCCATATCTGAGACCATAAGCTGCTGTAGGAATGCAAGACCATTCTCCAAACAATTTGGTCACTAGTAGCCACAACATAATGCAGATACCCAGCTGCTAAAATGGGCTTTTGAACCAACCTGATGATTTACGCCCATTATGCTCGTACTCCTTTTCCCTCCGCCCTTTGTCCTTCTCCCTTCGCTCTTTCTCTTCCCTCTGATCTTTCTTTTCCCTTCGCTCTTTCTCTTCTCGCGATCTCTGCATTTCTTGCAACTCATGGAGCTGTTTTTCCGTTTTCTCCAGTTGTTGTTTCTGGATCTCTATCGCCCGCTCATTTGCTTCTCTTAAACCAAACTGCAGTTGTTGGATTTGTTTCTGATCATCCATAATTATCTTTGCAGAAATGTCGGGCTTTTCCGAGTCACCCATAGAAAGCCCGGGGCCACCATATTTGACTTTGTCCCCAGACAGTTCTTGAGCTGATATTTCGAGATCCTTACGGCGGCGATCTAGTTGCTCGAGTTTCATCGTGGCTTCATGAATATCACTCTGAATGTCTTTGACGGCCTCCTCGTCCCCTTCCCCTCTTGCTTCATCCAGGCTCTTAATGAGCGAGGAGTGCTCCCTCTCGGATCTCTCCTTGGCTATCTGCAGCTCAGCTTGGATATACTTACCAGAATCGGTCTCGTCCAGTCGCAAGTTATGAAGCACGAGTTGTCTGACAATCTGCAGAACGACAGCTCCCCCAAGTTCACAAACGAGATCCAGGATCTCCAAAGCCGACTCTTTAGAGCCCTTGTGCCTCATGCACAGACTACCGTGGTCAATCATCGGACGCCAAAATTGGGGTTGCTTCTGCAATTCGGCTTCCCTTCGCTCACCAACTTGCTGCTCCACTTCGCTTGGTCCGAATTCATTCCACATGTTTGTGACAAGAACAATTCGATGGTAGTTTTCGATCCCACAGAGTGCTTGAAACATATGGAGGTTTTTCAGAGCAGCTCCTCCGATCCGTGGATCAATGATGCGGTGCAAGTATATCACACCGGCCAGCTTCCAGCCCTTCTGGTGCCAGTGGACCAGGGAAGAAGCAATCTCTTTGAGAATCTCAATGTCGGAGCGATTTGTATCGTTGAATCCAGGCGTGTCAAGCAAGAACAATCTATCACTTGACGGGTGTCTGACACGGTACATCTTGCAAATAGCAGTGCCTGGACTAAAGTCAACCTTCTACCAGAAAAGTGGATGATTACCCAACTGATAACTCACATGAATTTAGGCTGTCACTGATTGCAACATTCTCATCAGCTAGTAGTGAGATGAATGTGCTTTTCCCTGAGCCAGTTACCCCCATGACAGGAACAAAAAGGCTTTCTTCCCCGCCATCGATAGGCTTTGGCCATTGAGAAGTCATCCGGTCCGACCCCATCGTTTCCAGGTGATACAAATCTCCTTTCCCCTGGCGTTCGGACTTGTTGGTATATCAGTTACCCGTGTGTTCGCGAATATTGCTATCCTAGCTTCCGGACTCAGGTATGAATAGCTCTTCAGGACTCGGATGTCGCCATTGCAGTCAGGTGCGGGCAAGTGTTCAATCATGATATGGCTGCCCAAGAGAAGGCGACGATAAGAAAATGCCAATGGGCAAAGCGACATGGCATGACGTGGCAGTAACTGAATCACTTTCTTTCGCAGCCTGACCATTTCGCGGCTGGACTACGAGCCCCGCAGCTCTGCATATGGATACCTTAACCACGGCAAGATCAGCGGCATGAGAAAGGTGATATTGGCGACCCCTGGTCTTGAAAAAGATATTTAGCTGGATTGTTTTCTGAACTTGCTACCAAAGCGCTATTTTGGAGTTCACCATCTTGCCTAGTATTTGGATTGAGCGCACAGAAGCCATTCTTAGTTTCAAGTTACACCATTTCCTATCACAGAGGCATTGAAGCTCGGTGTTCATCCGGTCGGGTAAAAGAAGATGGCGCTCAACACTCAAGAGATAACCATAAAGTATGTGAACCCTTGAAACCTGGGGTGGTGGGCCACCCTAAGCCAGCATTTAGAAGGACAGAATCAGTGACTGACACTCCACTTTTCCCCTTTCTCTTCAAAATCACAGACCCGATGACCTTGTCATTGCGGTTATGGGAGTCACTGGCGTGGGGAAGAGCACATTTATTTCATACTTTAACTCAGATGCAACTACCGGTGATAGTTTGATCTCTTGTGAGTATTAAAACAGCTGCATAATCATGTCCATGTAACCCTAGAAAGTCTCTTTCCCTAACCATATGCTGCGAAATAGGCACCACTACCGTCGGGGTGTATCCCGCCACGATCGGCGCCCGGGACTTTTATCTCGTCGATACCCCCGGCTTTGATGATTCATTACGTCCCGATACCGAAATTCTACGAGAAGTGGCTGATTGGTTGAATCAGACCAACCAGGCCAACATCAAACTTGCAGGTATTGTCTACCTCCATCGGATTTGTGATACCCGCATGTCTGGCGCAAGTGCGAAGAGCTTGCGGCTTTTTAAGAAGGTCTGTGGAGAGCAAGGCCTTCCTTGTGTCGTTCTTGCTACGACAATGTGGCACCAACCGCCCACCGACCTAGAGGTGGCACGAGAGCAGGAATTGAGCTCCAAGGAAGGGTTTTGGAAAGAGATGGTGGAGAAGGGCAGTGTAATCCGGCGCCAAGATGATGGGAAAGTCTCAGCAACCAAGATTATTGGATATATTTTGGAGCGGCGGCACCAAATCACTTTACAGATACAAGATGAAATGGCACAGGGCAAGAAGCTAGACGAGACGGCGGCCGGTCGAGAAGTAGACGCCGACATCGTGAAGTTGAAGAAACACTACGAGAAGGAGCTGGCTGACTTGCGAAGAGAATTGCGCGAGGCGCAGGATAGGAACGATGTGCGGACCCAGAAGCAGATCATGGCAGAGCGGGCTGAAACAGAAAGGAAATTACAGGAACAGGAACGAAAGCGAGATCAGCTTCGAGTAAGTATGGAAGAGCTCCGGAGACAACGAGATGAGGAGATGCGTGAGCACCGAGAGATGGCATTACAGCAACAGTTGGATCACCAGCGAGCAGTTTTGAAGCAAGAGAGCGACCTTCACGAGCTGAGACTTCGCAATGAGTATGAAACAAAGTTGGTCCAACAGGCCTATACAGGTCAGATCAGTCGGCTCGAGGAAGAGCTGGAAATGCTGAGATCGCAAAAAGAAAGGCGTGGATGTGTGGTCATGTAATTCCTACAGCGATCTCATTTCTTTGTTCTTCTGTTTATTGATCGTCGTTCGATCTACCGATGCCATATAGAACCACATAGGCCAAAAATTGCCGGGCTTCTGCTAGCATCCTGGTGTCAGGCGCTGATTGTCTTATACTAATTCCCTATATTAATTCTAGTATCCTGCACAATTATCTACACTCCACTTCTCGCTAGTCCAAGTGGGACCGCTGAGCATGAGACGCGCGTAGAAAGGTGGGATACAAATGATGCGCGTCTTGATTCAGAGACAGCCTCGTCTGACTGGTACCCAATCTAGCCGATATTACCGTGAGCTTCCCATAATATGTTTTCGTTCTTCAACGCTCAGGTGCGGGGCATACTAATCTGAAGAATCTTGTCCCGTTGGAGAAGCCTTGTCTTCTATGCATGATAACTAGTACAAAGACTTCATTGGTGGTTGACCCCGCCCGACATGTCTTTGCAGGGCGTTTCGGAACACCTTTTCCATCTTTCCACATTGCTCCCATGGCCACGTCAGGCGGTTAGGGATCTTCCCTTTTGCCCATGCACCTATGGCAAAAAATATGAATGGGCATGTTCAAGCCCAACACAGGCCGTCCAGTTGCGAGCAATGACTCTGCCCGTACGTCGGCCCAACATTCAGCCTTCGCCTCATCTGTGAGCGTGATATACTAGCCTCAGACACACTACTGTTGCTTGAAGGTTGCAACACTGGGCTGTGCTGGAAGCTATAAGCTTACCATCCCCAAAATTGGGGAGAGCCAACTACGATAGAGCAGGCTTCTAATAAAGCGATTATCTGATAGCATAGGCCACTTCGTTATTTTGAAACATGTCGAAGTTGACCATGGAGGGCTTTACACATAATAGCTATACGGTAGGATGGATTTGCGCGTTATCAAAGGAGCTCACCGCAGCAGAGGCCATGTTGGATGTAAAGCATCCCAACCTTCAAAAACCCCCGAATGACACGAATAACTATACTCTCGGTAGTGTGGGGGAACACAACGTTGTTATTGTTTGTCTGCCTAAGGGTGGAATTGGAAATAACTCCTGCGCGACTGTTGCAACTATTATGCTCCAAACCTTCCCCAACATCAAGTTCAGCTTCATGGTCGGTATTGGAGGTGGCGTTCCTGAGCAAGTGCGCCTAGGTGACGTAGTAATCGGCACCCCGGCCGATGATCACTCTGGGGTTGTGCAATGGGACTCCGGAAAAACGGAACAAGGAGGACAGTTCAAGAGAACAGGAAGCCTTAACCGTCCCCCGAATGAACTCCTCAACGCTGTTTCAAAGCTCGAGCAAGAACATCAGACCAATGGAACGAAAATCCCTCGATACTTGGACCAGATGAAATATAACCGCCCAAACCTGCAATCGGAGTATCTTTCGTCGGCGAATCTGGAGGACGTGCTTTTCCGGGCGGACTATGGGCATGTCAATAATGGTAGCAGTCAGAATAGCCAAGGCTGTGAATCCTGTGATCGAGCATATAGTATTCATCGAGAACCCCGCCAAATGAAGGTCCATTACGGTCTTATTGCCTCCGGGAATCAGGTGATAAAAGATGCAAAGTACCGGGATGAAATCAACGGAAGGTTTGATAACAAAGTCCTGTGCTTTGAGATGGAGGCAGCTGGTGTGGGAAATAGCTGGCCATTCATCGTCATTCGAGGAATCTGCGACTATGCAGACTCACATAAGAACAAACAATGGCAGGAGTATGCGGCTTCTGTCGCTGCCGCCGCAGCAAAGGAGCTTCTGCTGACAGTGCCTACTTCGGCTGCAACACTTCTACCCCCGATGATGACAAGTAAGGATGTATACCAATGGAGGTTAACGGTTGTTCTATGTTCTGACTGCAGCTCTTTCTGTTACAGAGATGTTGAGTTCCGGGTTTGACCTTGTGAAAGGTATGTTCACAGAATTCATTGCAGGAAGCGACTACCGATGGGAATCATTTCTCACTGTTGATTAGGCTTCTTCAAAACCGGCTTGAGGGGCAGTGGGCAACCGAAAGATACGCAACAAGGTCCCATTAATAATGACCCCTCTGAATTACAATATGAGAGCAATGAAGCCGAGCGAACTACAGGTAGCCTTGGTTCCACTGATGAAGATCAACATTCGCCTCAACCAACTCCAAGCTCCACTTCATTACCGACTGCAAATAAGGGCACTATTCGTGAACAAACATCCCGTGAGGCAAAGCCAGAGATATACGATGTGTTCATTGGTGTCATGGGAATGACAGGAGCCGGAAAGAGTACATTCATATCTCTCGTCACGGATCAGGAGGTAGTGATAGGGAACGATCTAAATGCCTGTATGAAACAAATCCTTATCCACGAAAACAACCTGGTGTCCGCAGCTAATCTTTGTCTGGAATGGTGACAGGCACCCAGAATGTGACTATGTACCGCTGTAAATTCAGTACCTCCTGCAACATATGGTTGATCGATACACCTGGGTTCGATGACACAAGCCGAACAGATAGCGAAGTTCTAAAAGAGATTGCCGGATGGCTCGCCGAATCCTTCTCCCAGAAGGTTCTTTTGAATGGCATCCTGTATCTACATCGGATCATGGACAACCGGATGCCCGGCTCAGCCAAACGAAATCTCTTTATGCTGAAGAAGCTATGTGGTAAAGATGCTTTGAGGAATACCATCTTAGTCACTACTATGTGGGATTGTGTCGACCCGGCCGACGGTGACAGGAGAGAGAAGCAACTGATTACCACCCCAGAGTACTGGGGAGATATGATTGCAGCAGGCTCACAAACCCTTCGGCATGACAATACCTATGAGTCCGCAATGCGTCTAATTAATCTCTATGCGGGTTCCCATTCAACCAAAGAGAAGAAGGTACTCGCTATTCAACATGAAATGGTAATAGAAAAGAAAGCCTTGGATGAGACAGACGCTGGAAAAGCTGTTGAAGACGCATTAATCAAAGAACGATCTAGATGGAGGAGGGAGCTAGATGACCTTCGGGAAATGATGAAGGAAGTTCTCGCAGAGAAGGACAAAGAATCCGCCGAGATGCTGCGCCAGAACACTGCTGAGATTAACGCCAAGCTGGCCGCTGCTGAAAGGGCACAACGAGACTTGAAGGTGACCATGGAGCAAATGCATCGTGAAAGGCTGTCGGCTTTTAGGAGGGATATAGAAGCACAACGCAAGGAGAACAAGATTATAAGAGAAAAGCTCAGCACTTTCGAAGCATCACGGGATCGCAAAGCCAAAGAGTCTTCCATCGCACCAGTGAATTCACAGACCCTTTCACCCCTTTCGGAAGAGCTTGAGGCCCAAAATTCCAAGCTCGGTGCTGCTCAGGCTCATGTGCAGGAAATGGAAAAAGCACATGATCAAGGAAGTCTGGATATGCGTGGGCCCAAGTATGCGTCTCTACTTGAGCAGCTCGAACAGCATCGACGAGAGCTGTTAATTGTCCAAAGCAGTATTAGGGGTATGGGGCAAGGCCATGGACAGCGATACGGATGCGATCTGGAACCGATGTACTCGGGGAAGCTTCTCGCGCAGCTGGAGGGTTTGAGCATGTAAGGATAAACGCTTAGAGTGGTTCAAATGATGATATTTCACGCAGCGTTGATTGCCTTTTTTTTAAACTTACATCCTCCCAATTAAAGGTTGATCGTGCTGAAGTGTCAAGACCGGAGGACGAAGCCATTTACGTCCTGATACTATCCTAGCCTAAGAATTGCAATCCAATAGCTGATGTTCCCTTTCTATCCGCCTCATCCAGGAGACTATGATATGTATTCACATAAACCCCGATGATTCCCTCCTTACCCTCCGGATATCACTGCAGCTAATCACTGATATATTGACTGTGTGCTGATTAAATTGCCGATTATTCCATTTACCATGATTATTCATTGCCTGCCTCGGACTCGGGGAGGGATATAAAATGCTACTTTTCCCCTTCGTAATCTTTCTTCTACATTATCCCCTCAACTTAAATACCTTGATAAAATATGAAGTATTGGCTTTAAAATCAAATAACTGGTTCATCATTCAGGAAAGGAAGATTGTCTAGCATTTCTGAAAAAAATTCTATAATTAGTATACCTAGATACCTCTTCGCTGAACCCACGAAAGTTGGAGTACACCTAATGCATCTGGACTCGCCAAACTACTTTAGTGATGTCGATGAAAATATATACCCTATCGGCGAAGTCCAAATTGGGTTTGTAAAACGATTCCCCAGTTCAGATTTCGAGGTACGATATGGAACTCGATTTGAAACCGTGAATATATTCCGGATACAAAGAACTAGCAGGAAAAGGTGAGTGTAGTCTTCCTCCATTGCGCTTCCCAATTTCCATTCCTAACCTTCTGAATATTCTCCCCTTTCATGCCGTCTCCTAACTTTTTTCGCCAATAATGGAATACGAAGTTCAAGACATTGAACGCACACTAACCTTGCGTAGGTGTATGAATCACCAAAATCTCTTATAGTAGCCCTATGGGCCTATATTGACTGCTCGGTGGGCCGCTGCTAATAACAGTCTCGGCGTTTTGCTGGCTTCATTTGACCATTGCCATCCAGCAAGCCCAATGGGCCACCCTCGCTGAACAATTGAGTCAATAGAATTCATGGTGTGGTCATTTGGCACACTTGATCCACTTCTAGTAGGTCCTATGGATCGCTGAGGTTCCGTCGTCTCAGAGTGGTCTTGTCTTGACTCTACCAGCTGGCCCAATGGGCCGTTGTCTGTGCTGCTGGGCTATTACATATAGCAACTGTACGTTCTCTCTTCGCAGCGTCGATAATTCCGTACGTGGCTAATATAAGACTTTTATAGTACTTGAGCTTGTTATGTTTCCCGAAAGAACATGCATGTCTTGCCAAAGGAGGGATACGAAGATTGTAAGTAAAAAGGCACCGTTAATCCATACGCACAAGTACAACACTACGGTGTTAAAAACCGGAGTTCCTTCAAAGTGCGTGGGATATAGGTTACTACGTTAACCCGTTACTTCCCAGTAGCAGAGATGTTCGGGCAAAGTCTCGAGAAGCAGAAAGCGATTTTGGACCATACACTGGTATTACAGAGTTATGGCTCTCGATATTGCCTTGTTAGATATTCTTAACGGGCATATGCTTCTGTGCTACATAGCGAAGTTCAGCCGGGAATGTCAGTGGGATGTGGCTCACAATACTAACCCAGGAAGGATTGTGCACAACGATCTGAAGAGTACAAGGTAAATATTACGGACATACCAGCATTATTACAACTATGGCATGCATTCTTCTTTTATCGCAGCAGAATTACTATCTGTTATAAGAAGGACTAAGAGGGACATCCTGGGGGTGTCAGATATCGACAAATCTGGCAATAAACAATCTGCTACCCGACAAGCAAGACAGGCAATCAGATACGCTTTGTATGAGGATGAAGAATTCAAAGCATAGACATATATAAGAATTGCTACTGGCACATAACAACGGGACGATATGATAATATCATCGAAGCAGGCGAAACCCGCTATTGATTGTTAGAGGGTCGAATCATGAGCAAGACGAGATGACTCGGAAAATACTCAATCTATTCACTGCTAAATGGAGTAAGAACCGATTGGAAATTTCGTTTGGAAATTGAGATGGGAGAAGACGTTGACAATCAATGCTTCCTTGAAGTGGGTCATCTAACGACGGAGACCCAGAGGCATACCAAAAGAAAAGTCGGAACAGAGTCTTTGGAACCTACTGATCTAGCTTCACTAATTGTCATGAGGGCGCTCAATATTACCAAAACTCAATCAACTAATTTGTCGAATGACGAACTCTAGGAGATAGGAGCAAAAGGTGGTTCTAGCTGCAATGGATATGGTCACCAGCGACACGGATGAAGTGCTCCTAGAACGCCTTCACATGGCCACAGCTTACGCCAAGATACCTGGTCCTTAAATACAGAGTCTACCACAAATTAGACTTACGTGACTCATCGGGGCTATTTGATGATCCAGAGAGTCTTGAAGATGTGTCGAGATCACTGGCCACTTTCTACAAGATATCCTGGCTCTAACTGCAGCAGTTTTACTTACTAAAGGTCAGCATTGTTCTTTATACGGCTTCAACAGCCGAATGAAAAAGCTTTTGTCTATAAGAAGCCTTATTCGAGAAGGCAACAGAAATAAGTGTTGCACCAATTCGCTCATTGACTTTCACCTATCGGTCAGAGGAATCATTATGAGCGGAAACGTGGCCCAGCTCCTCCCTACAGTCACATCGGTCTCGCAAATGGTGCTTGCCACATGGTGCGGCTCTCCTTCTTTGAGCGACTTCATATCGCTGGAGTCCGTCACATTGCCTAACCATGCAAGACCGAATGCACCCGTCCATTACAGCTTCTATAAGGAAAACAAGAAGTTCTTCCTTCCCGCATAAAACTTTAGTAAAAGGGTTATCAGTGATGAAATCAGCTTCAAGTCAATGACAAGGAATAGAGCGGTTCATGACACAAAGGTACAACGTCGAAACTTGATAACCTCAGAATATCTCTGTCAAGGAGTCCGAAGTCCGGAAGCTTAGCAAAGGCACGTCCCTATCCAACCCAAGTATATATCCATGGTAACGAACTTTGAGAGAACTGTGCGCGGCCAATTGCCCATCCAGAGATGTTCTACGATCTCATACTACGCAGAAGAAAGAAGTCACTGAAAAACCTTACATGATATATTTCAGCTCAATGGGGTTAATGTCATGAGCGGCGCCAGATGCCTATTGTCATACATAGTATGAACATATATCTATCAGGTGACCAGATAGACGCGATATATTGTTTTCGGCCTGGCAGTTAGTGCATCAGCATCATAATATCGACAACTGGCCCAGGATGTGGTAATAAGCTCGGCCATGTTGCGCATACGTATCTGCAGAGGACGAAATATACGGGACAATCTCGGGGTTCCCAATGATGGACTGTGGCGTTTTTACTGTTATAATCTGGCTTGTTCTCGAGGGATGCGAATTGCCCCTTAAGTATAGGGCATACTGATTCCTACTGACCTCTACTACTTCGCAAGATATTTTCTAAATGAACAACCGAGTATCAGCTATCTATTGATTATTAGTTAGACTCGTATTGATTAGTGCTACACAATAAATATATCTCATCTAAACAAGTCAGTAGGCGCTGCCGTGTAGCTAACGCCTCCGACTTCTCTAGTCATCTTTCCAGTTTCAGGCATAAGTGCTTCCAATTAATTCGAGGTGTAGGTGTTTTCACTTCATGGAAGATTTTGGTGCTTATCCGTGAGTGCCAGAAGTCATTGTCCAAGGTTAGATGGAGGGCTCTCTGTACATTCGCAACTGCCTTAGAAGGCAGAAAGCCGAACACCATATTCAATATTTCCCATGGGAGAAGCAGAAGCATAGACTCTCGGACCTTCGGAGCAACCTTCGGTTGAGAAATCTTGCCTTTGTTTCTTATTTGCTTTTGAGTAGTCTGCTCCAGCGCTGTTTTAACACACTCAGTCCGGACCGGGTCTGACACAGCAATAGTTCAACCATTAGCCCACTCAACAAAGGCAGCGATATGTTCAAGCATCTTGCACACAAGGAGTGAATATAAAAGTTGCATATCTACCTCCTAACCACTCGTCTGGCATTCCACACACCCGTCTCCACGAGTTCTCCTCATGCCTCTGTATTAAAGCTAACATGAGAACCTTCAGGTTCTTGTTCGCAATATCGCCTAGCTTGTGGTGCATGAGCAGTTCCCAGCACCGTGCGTGGACTGGATATCCCATCCAGCCATGGGAAATATCGTCTTCATACCCGCTCATGAGGGGGTGACCTCCGTCGTTCACAACCGTAATCATGGGCATGACCGCCTTCCGCCTTTCCTCACTTGTACGAGGTTCGTAGATCAAACCATCAGTCTTCTTCCAAGGTACAAAGAAGGTGCCATAGTTTGTTCGTGGTATGGTAACGCCGGATATCTGGCACCCATCGTTTATAATGTTGTGTAGAACTGGCGGGTATTTATGTCAGTAGCAATCAAACCTCCAGACAACTTTTTCTCGGCCTCCAGCAGTTTCCCTGGCCTTGATGTTGACCTCACGCAGTAAGTACTTATGATGGTAGGTAGCAGGTTAGCTTACTCATCCGACGAGGCATCCCCCACCATGACTGATCATCGCCATACAAATCCAAATTCTCCACTTTTTGGGCTTTGCAGATACCTTTTTTGGGATGGTGGAAGGTGACATGATTCAGGTCGTGTTCGTCTGGTGCATATCTTTTCAAGTAGAACGCGTAGCCGCAGATATGACATTGTTGGAAATAATCATCATCTTCTCCGCGAAAATCATCCGCATCGTAGTGGCCACTGCTATGTTCATCGTCAGAGGAAAAGAGCAAAGAGGAGTTGTTGGAGACAGAGTCTGGGTCTGGCATTGTTATTGTGAAAGTATTTGTATTTGATTATCACTTGAATGCTGATTAGGTTAGTTAGTGGTAGGGAAAGTTGGATTGTTATAACGATTTTGTTGATATCCAGAGTAATGGTGACATAATAGCGGAGATATTTATCAGAGCTTATGAACTTCCCTATACAGGATAAGTAGTTATGCTATCATGATACTATCAACAAGCGGGGTGTTCTGACAATAGGATCAACTATGGCAATGCCACCATACCAGTTACCCATCCAGAGCATCATCGCCGGATATAAAGTCCATACTTTATTCTGGCCTGACAAACATGGCACCACCCGGATAAACGGTCCACTTTTCCGATCCATCAGTGCTCAAGAACCTGCAGATTCGGATATGCACACCATTTATTGATCCACCAATAATGTGAAATTCCCGACCTCATCCTGTCCCCCCACGGCCTACAGCAGCTGTGCTACCCCCACGCGGGGTATGGGGGTATTTGCAGCTGCTATCGTTGGAGATCTAGAAGCTGTATTGCGTGGGGGTGCCACATAAATACTATGTCTGTTAAGTAGCTACAGCGTCATTGCAAAAGCAAGCTCATTGCTAATTCCAATTGTCCAGAATCATGGCTCCCATCAAGTCTATTGAGTACTTTCGCGTCAAGCCGCGCTGGCTTTTCGTCAAGGTGACGGACAATGAAGATAAGTTTGGTTGGGGTGAGGCTACGCTTGAGGGACATACACAGGCTGTGGAGGGTGCGTTGGATGAGATCATTGGGAGGCTTGTTGGTTATGAGGCTGAGTATGCTTCCTCAATTTCTTTGTTCTTATCTTGTTTCAGTGCTAATGGAGTAGTGACATCGAGCACATCTGGCAAACTATCTGGCGGCTGGGATTCTATCGCGGTGGGCCGGTTTTCATGTCCGCCTTATCTGGCATTGATATCGCATTATGGGATCTGAAGGGCCGGAGGTTGAACGTACCGGTGTACCAGCTTCTCGGAGGCAAGGTTCGCAACAAGGTGCAGGTTTATGCTTGGATTGGTGGTGATCGACCGAGTGATGTTGAAGTAGCTGCGTAAGTCACCTTCCAACTGTTCGCGTTCCAAGTCTAATAGTCCCCAGCAAGGCACGTCTGGCACAGGGTCTCAAATGCGTCAAGATGAATGCGACAGAGGACATGAACTGGCTCGACTCGCCATCTGTACTAGACTCTTGTATCGAGCGCATCAAACAGGTCAAGGCTCTCGGTCTTGACGCTGGTCTCGACTTCCACGGCCGTCTCCATCGCCCCATGGCTAAGCAGCTCGCGAAAGCACTTGAGCCCTACCGTCCTCTGTTCATCGAGGAACCCCTGCTCGTTGAGCACCCAGAAGCTATCAAACAGCTTTCTCAACACACAACTATCCCGATCGCCTTTGGAGAGCGTTTGTATACTAGGTGGGATGTGAAGCGGTTCCTCGAGGATGCGTCAGTGGACGTGCTACAGCCGGATATCGCGCATGCTGGTGGAATCTCGGAAACAAAGAGAATTGCGACCATGGCGGAGACTTATGACGTGGCAATTGCGCCGCATTGTCCTCTTGGTGAGATCTACCCCTTCTCTTTCTTCATCTCGTGAGCCACGCATGCTAACCGACTTGTCAGGTCCAATTGCCCTCGCAGCTTCAATGCAAGTCGCCCTCTCGACTCCGAACTTCGTCATTCAGGAAATGTCGCTGGGAATGCATTACAACGTTGAAGCCGGTGACATTGACCTCACAAGCTACCTAACAAATCCCACGGTTTTCAACATCGAAGAGGGGTATGTGCCAGCGCCCACAGGAGCGGGGCTGGGAGTGGAGATCGACGAGGAGATGGTGCGTAGGATCAGTCGGGAAACGGAGCCATGGCTACCGAAGGAATTTTATGGCGTCGATGGGGGAATTCGCGAGTGGTAGATAGCTTAGACTTGTAGGACAGAATGTGGGGGTGAATGCGGAGGTGATCTGCATCCTGACGTCTGGAAATGCGGAGAGCGTGGGGGTGCCTCGGATATCGGTCCGAATACATATACCAGCTATAGCTCATATAGTACTAAGATAGTGTTCACAAGCCATACTCAATCACTTCCACTCAATTGACTGTAAATAATGGACCTCTTCTCCCTCGAAAACACAACCGCCCTCGTCACCGGCGGCACCCGCGGCATCGGCCAGCAAATGGCCATTGCCCTGGCCGAAGCCGGCAGCGATGTGATCCTCGTCCAGGTATCCACCATCACTATCTACTGTACACCAACCACACACTCTAACTTATACTTAATAGAGAGACACATCCAACACGGAGACAAAACAACGCATCGAATCCCTCGGCCGCAAAGCAACTATCTACACCGCAGACCTCTCCTCCCGCGAATCCGTCTCACAACTCACACCTACCCTCCTCTCCGACGGCCACGATATCAGCATCCTAGTCAACTGCGCAGGCATCCAACGACGCCACCCCAGCCATCTATTTCCAGACAGCGACTGGGACGAAGTCAGTCTTCCAGTCACTCCCTTTCCCCTTCCTTCAAACCGCCCGTCCACTAACCAAATGAAATTGATACATAGGTCCTCCGAACAAATCTAACCACCATCTTCACTCTCTGCCGCGACATCGGCGCCTACATGCTCACTCGCACCCCAGACGCCACCGGCCACCGCGGCTCCATCATTAACGTGGCCTCGCTGGTCTCCTTCCAGGGAGGGATTACAGTCCCCGCGTATGCGGCTGCGAAGGGCGGCGTAGCGCAACTCACGAAAGCATTGTCAAATGAGTGGGCCAGCAAGGGTATCAATGTCAATGCGGTGGCGCCGGGTTATGTAGCCACGGAAATGAATACGGCGCTTTTGAATGATCAGGACCGCGCGAAGAGTATACTTGAACGCATTCCGGCGGGGAGGTGGGGAACCGCGGAGGACTTTAAGGGCGTTACGGTGTTCTTGGCCGGGAAGGCGAGTCGCTATGTTTCTGGGAGTGTGATGTTGGTTGATGGGGGGTGGATGGGGAGGTAGAGATTCTTTTGGGTGTGTTATACCATTCTAGTCAGTTCCTTTCGAAAACTTCGAGGTTAAGAGCTCAGTCTTACAGTGTGAGGCCGGAGCTGGAAACTAGCTCAAGTAGATTCTGATAGATTCTGACACTAAATTGACTCGGTTATGTAACTAGAAGCCATACAAGAAAACATAAAAGAATATATATCAATATGTTTATAAAATAGGAGAAAAGGAAGAACAAACAATCAATAATCCCGAACACTTTGATATTCTTATGATTCATAAGAGTGCAAGAGCTTGTTCAGTATCAGAAACAGCATTTCTCTAACAACCCTCAGAAGTGGATCCATATGCCGAATCGTCTGAATAAAGGAAGAGGCCCACACAGTTAATGTTAGGTATGTATCATATAGATAAGCTTATAGTCTAGTCCCTCGTGGTCTATCATGAAAAGTGCTCAAATAATGATGCTGCCTAAAGATATACAAGTAATTAGTCTAAAAGCCTGGTATGCGTATACGGAACCATCAAGAAGTGAAGATCGTCATGACCATATCAGGCTCTCGTCTCGAGGCTACTTTGAATTTGCTCTAGGCAGTGTATTATTGTCAACTATAAAGATGGTTTAGTAACGAAAAGAACTGACTGGGTTCATCACAAACTGCCCTGCATACTACGATACCCTTCTGAGAGACCTATGAAGCAAATCATCCTCCACTTGCCACACATAACCCAGAAGTAAGAGCAGAGATTAGCTTGAAATATTGCCGCGTAGCCGGCACCTGGATGATTTTTGAAACTACGTCAATTCGGACAACTGCCGACTACCAAAAGAGGAAAAGCAGGGACTGGCCAGAGCTCGAGAACATGTCCAGGTCCGGACTAGTGCAGATTGTTTCGATCAGCAAGTTTGCGGAGACTAAACCCGATCTGGTGTAACGCTGCTTCATTGCCCACCGACACCCGTTACGAGTCAACTTCTTTGCTGCATGTTCTTGCACAATGTTTCCATTGGTTTGGTTTTTAATTTATCAGAAATTTAACTGCTATCGTCTCCACGATGTACGCTTACTCTTGCCGCATCAAGCCCTCTAGCGAAAGATTCTGCCCGTACTATGACGAAGCCTTCCAGGCCATTGCCAATGCCGCATCGTTTGTAGATTTTTGTGGCCCGAGCATCTTTATTTCTGCTAGAAGTATTCCGCTAGGAGTACTTGAGTCTAACATCTCATGCAGCTAACTGTAGTGACCTACAGCCGCCTGAAGCCATACAGAATATGGAGATAGAATGAAGTTATGATTCCAGCTGCCTGAGCCTTGTCATAAAGTACGATAAGACACTTCAGCCTCCACCACCTGTTTTGTATGGTCAAGAACTAGTATAAGCTTAATTATACCAAACCCACCTACGCACACTCTGTCCTGAAACTATGTGCAACAGTGGCTCTCCCAGAGCAGTCACACTGCGACACTCTGCATGTGCTCCGGTTTTATAACCATCTTATATGCAGTCCTGTGCGTAAGTGCCTCTTTTAGAGCAATCGTCCTGCAACATTGTGCATTAGTGGCATATTTAGAGCCATCAACCTGCAACCATGTGCATAAGTGCCGTATTATAAAGTAACAAGTATACGGGCACTAAAAATGTGGTATTATACAACTCCACCTTTTGTGCATGGTGAATTTTAGTGCTAGACTTCACCTGGACGCTAAAATAGTAAGCCTTGATGATCCTCCACTCCAACCGGCATGCTTTTAGAATCAAGCTTTGCCCTACCAATCTGGTGGTCGCTTCTCCACTCTGTAGCCCGGGACCACGACGAGGAACGCGCAAACAGTGGATTCGACATGATTTGCCCCTGAAGCATCCCATACATCATCAGACATCAAAGCCTTGATACTGGCAACAGCTCAGTCGTCCCACTTCTCGAAAAACCTCCTGCCGCGTCAGTCTCAATCATGGATGCCTATTTCCCTTTCTCTGAACGTAGCTCAGGGCGGACGAACAGGCTCCATCGGCTGCTTAAATACAGAATGAAGATCACTTTCCTCAGACAGATCAAACCTTTCCACTCTTTTCATCATCAAGATGCGTCTCTCACTTCTCCTGGCGGGCGCCATTAATCTGGTTGCCACCCAGGCTATCGCAACCTCGCGCTGTACTCCTGAGACCTTCACTCCCCATCTTTCTTCCAATGCTTCCTTGGTCTACGCAGTTCCGTATGGACCCAACGATACCTTTGTTGGCCCGTTGGGCAACTACTCCGGTCTCCCCGAGTATTGTGCTGTTTATGTCAACGTGAGCTCGTCTGCTACCTCTTCCTACGAATTCGGTCTTTGGCTGCCCATCAACACCTGGAACAAGCGCTACATGGCCTATGGAAATGGTGGCTTCACTGGAATGGTCGCCTTTGCCGATATGGCACCCGGTCTTTTCTACGGTTTTGCCACCGTTTCCACTAACACTGGACACAACTCCTCTGTGACTGAGGCTGGCGATGCAGGCTGGGCTCTCAACAACCCCGAGACTCGCACTGACTGGGGATGGCGTGCACTCCATGGCTCCGTTGCCCTTGGCAAGGAGCTTACTGAAGCCTTTTACAGCGAAGATATCAGCTACTCCTACTACGCTGGTTGCTCTACTGGTGGTCGCCAAGGTCTAAAGTCCGTCCAGATGTTCCCCGACGACTTCGATGGTGTTCTTGCTGGTGCTTGCGCTTGGTGGACCACTCATCAGCAGAATTGGGACCTCAAGCTCGCCACCTACAACCTTCCTAACAATGCCAGCCACCACATCACCGAGACTCAGGTGGATGCTTTGGCCACTGAAGTCCTCCGTCAGTGCGACGAAGTCGATGGTGTCAAGGATAACATCATCATGAACGGCTATGCCTGTGACTTCCGTCCCGAAACCCTTCTTTGTGATGGTCCCTCCGCCAACAAGTCGACCTGCTTCACCGCCGATCAGATTGACACTGTCTACAAGATTTACAGCCCCTGGGTTGAGACCAACGACTCCTTTGTCTTCCCCAGCTTTGCCTACGGTTCTGAAACCCAGTTCGCTCAAATGATCACGACCGACGACGACGAGCAGGACAGCCCCAGTGGTATTGCCTACCCTCGTGACTTTGTCTATAATGATGCCAACTGGCCCTGGGAGAACCTGGACTTCTCGACCATTCAGCTGTCTGATCAACTGGATCCTGGCAATGCCACTGCCGGTGACTTCGATCTCCGTCCCTTCAAGAACAAGGGCGGTAAGCTGATCCATTACCACGGATTCGCTGACGGAGAGATCCCCACCGGCTCCAGCATCTACTACTACAAGCAGGTCCAGAAGATGCTCACCCCCCTCGGCATCAAGCTCGACGATTTCTACCGCTTCTTTTTGATCCCCGGTATGGAGCACTGCTTGGACTCCGTTCACGATGCTCCGTGGTACATTGCCTCGGCTAACCAACCTGGCGGCCTGACCGGCACCAATGTTTGGGGTGTGCCTGGATACCGTGACCGGAAGCACGATGCCATCCTGGCGCTGATGGCCTGGGTCGAGAATGGCATTGCCCCTGATGAGCTGATTGCGACCAAGTTCATTGATGACACCCCCTCGGAAGGTGTGCAGGCTCAGCGCCCTCTCTGTGTCTACCCTAAGGAGGCCAAGTATGTTGGAGGTAACTGGAACGAGACCAGTGCGTTCGAGTGCCGGTGATCCGATTAATGTTGAAGGGTCCTCCCATATCGTTTGTTGCTATTAGGGGCTATGTAACCTAAGAATACATAATATCTCTTCTATGTATGATATATACATCATTAGCACGTACTGAAACCTATATAGTTTTGTTGTGGAACTGTTTTCCCGGTTACCAAAGCCCCTGGCTAGCATATTCAGAGTAAAATAGCTTTGCGCCTGAGTAGTACATGACAGTTATTACCAGTTGGTGAGGCATCACTGCAGCCAGGCAGCTGTCGGCTGATCCTTCGCCTCTTCTTCCTCCGTGACCTTTTCCACCACCTCAACCACCCAATCCCTTGAGATCTAGCTAGATCAAATCCATATCTTTAACCCTTCGTCTTGACACCAGTCACTAAATTCACCAGTCGCGCCCCGACTTCCTCCCAATCCTAATTTAAAAATACATACGAAACCCATCGACGACAATACGGTCAGTTCAGATAATGCCAACTTGGCTTCCTAACTAGCAGTGGTCTTCGATTGCCTGCCTCGTGAATCAAACAGTGACGGAATCACCATTATTAAATTTCGCCGGCCACCAAAGATAGGTCAAGGCCGGTATAGGCTGATGGAATATTTTGCAACTGGTCATGATTATTGGCTGATAAGCTGTGGTATGGCGTCTAAATAGTGCGCTACTGCTTTGCGCGGTTGCCGCCGATTTAATTGGTTACACCCCCTCTCCCAACTCGACCAGGGGGTTCTGACCTCACTGCAGCACAACGAGAAGAGGACCAACTGTCAGAAAAAGCTGAAGTTACTCATACGATCACTTAGATCAACGGCAGTACTTACAATATGGCACTGACAATTCCCGTCGAGATCTGCGACATGGTATGACCCCCGTGCGTGATACTAGGTTCGTGCTAACTCAATCCTGAGATCGTTGATCACGTAGTAGCAACAATTGAGACGGACTACTCTTTACGCGATCTGTTCCCTTACACGCTTGAGCCAGGTACTCGACCACAACTCATGAGCTTACGCTTGGTTAGCCGGAATTTCTGTGCTGCCGCGTCGCCCCATCTGTTTAAACGCAATGTAGCTCCGATCAATTCCTCGGTGCGCGGCAGGAGCTCCCTACAAAGATTTGCTGAAATCTCACGGAGCAAATACGCTGCACATGTCCGCCATCTAGAGACCGGATACAACAGCTGGGGCATCTCTTTCCCTTCAACAATCGGCCAGGAAATCCAGGATTTTGCTGGGTTGTTATCGCCTTGTCTTGCTCAACTGTCCGATTTACGCGTTCTCAAATTCAGGGCGTCGGGCAAGTCCTGGACACGCGACCACGAAAGGGCTGCTATTGGAGCAATTGTTACTGCCCTACGATTTGTGGTTCTACCCCATTTAGAAGGGCTTGAACTCTTCTTCCCCATAGCTCATGACTTCCGATACTTTTTTCCCAGCCCATCTTCTCCATTGTACATACCCATGGAGGATTTACTGCACGGCCTGAAATACCTAGCTTTACATGTCACTGCGTATACCAAAGTGCTGGGACAGCGATACTGGAAAACCCCTATATCCCCTGCATACGCTGCCTTTCCAAATGACTTGCACGCCGCGCATCTCTTTAGATTAGTGGAGCTGGCTCCCAATCTAGAAGCTCTCCATATCAGCAGTACAGACGTTCTACCTTTGTACACTATTCATTTCAACCCAGCGCTCCGTCTCACCTCACTATGTCTCGCACGAGTTCTGATTACGTTCGACCACTTCCGCGCGCTTACTGGCCAATGCAAAGATCATCTCAAGCATATCGAACTGTCTTTGGTACAACTGCATTTTGGCACCTGGCACATGGTCCTCACGCAGCTACGCCAACTACCGCACCTTATAGACTTTTCTATCGGATCATGCGGGTATCCATCCACCGGGCCAAATGCACATCTGGCTGGGATGCTTCCTCCACCAGATGACCCGGAACCCCTTGAGACGATGAGTTCCGCGGACTATGAAGGACTGGATGAGCTTAGGGATTCTGTTAATGCGAATCGAGTCGCTTTGGGACTTGAACCGTGGGAGCGTAGAGATCCCCGCTGGTCTAGGTAGCCCCCTTGCGCACTGGGCTGCTGATGGCGAGATAGGGAAGGGGATATCTGCCGCAACGGATGGAGTTGGAGCAGAGGGTCGGCTTAGGTCGGCTAATGAAGTGACATGTGTTTAAAGCGTAACTTACTAGCTATTTGAGTACCATACCCTTGTGAATAGGCATCTCAGGTAGCAACCAGACACAAAATCATATTGAGGTTTCAGCTGACAGGCTGATAGGAGTGATCATCAGTGTCGCAAAACTTTTATACTCACTAGTCATTACAAACAAGCACGCAAGCGTTGTTCTTGATATCTGTCGGAGACTAGTCTGTCAGGATGGACGGATATGAGACGTAAAGAAAAAATCCCATATTTTTGAAGTTCCTGTTTCGTTCCAGACGTGATAAGCTGAGGAATGGGCTGGCCCGTTCTAACCTCCTTCCGCCGAGCGACACACTTCACCACCGCAAACCTCTAATATGCCATTTCATTCCTCTTTCCCTACCCTGTGGTACATTTCCCCGATGCACTGCATCTGAGGATATGCGCGCGACTATCGAATGCAAGACATGTCATTGCGGTCTCTTCTAAACGTTTCTGCAGGGGTGTCCCAGTCCCCAAGTTACCTTGGTTACCATGGATGTCGAAGGCCCAGAACGTCCGGCGGTGGTGGTAGATGTATGTTCCCCGGTTTGCGGAATGGTCAAGACCAGCGGAAACCATGTAAGGCGGGTCATTCATCCCTTCTCTTCCAGCTTCAACCAAGATTTCAGCATGAGACACACAGAGCCTCACAAGCGCTTGCGGGGATTTTCAAGGCAAAGGGGGATGGTAGTGCTCCGTATGATAGTAAAACAGCCCCATACAGCATCGGAGTTACAGAGTGTGATGGTGTTGGACTGTTTATTGACGCCGGCGCCCAACAGAAGTTACACCCGGTTGGGTTAAGAGATTTGGCAATACATCCGGGGTGGGTTGCCTTAATGGTACATGCATTGGTGCAACGGCAGCAGAAGCGATGGGGACATCATTATTCAACTAAATGGCCGACCGTTTACAGCATAATTTAAATCCCAAGCAAATGGCGATTTATTCCGTGATTACAGATCGCATACACCCCCTTGCCGGGCTAACCTACACGTCTAGCCGTGGAAAGAACTACCCTGTGCAGGTATGTGGTCACCAGAGGTGAAGTGGGAGTGTTTTCCCTCGATGTACACCCCAGAAAGAGCCTATTCCACGTCTGGGGTACCATTAACAGCCATCAAGGGTTCCATGATACAATCCTGCAATCAGTCGTACCTTCCCAGTCCAGGTGTCTAGTCGGGCATTTTCGGGCACGGTTCACCATGACACCATGTTGTTCAGCGCCATAAAGTCATACTGAAATATCCTGCCGGCTCTTTTCTCCTGACTCCTTGCTCCGTTGGACATCGACGTAACTATAAGATCCAGTGAGTACCGATAGCGCCTCTTTGGATTAGAACCACTGGATACCTAATTTTTGCCGTCGTATCAACATGAGCACCCCTGTGGCGGCAGAATCTAGCGATCAACGACTGGGCTCGGTTTTGCCAGTTTTCAGTAGGTGGCGCAGTCCTCACCTTCGCAGGGTCAGTCTCTTCATGGGCGTTCTATCCCTTTTCTGTATGCCGCTACTTTCCATAAATTTGCCTCGATGGTTTTATAACTGAGCACCCATAGCGTCTCCGGGCGGGTACGATGGCTCTTTGGTCAATGGCCTGCAGGCTATGCCAGAATGGATCAACTTCATGGAAAAGCCATCCAGCACTTGGCTTGGCTTTATAAGTGCTGTCTACTGGATAGGGGCTTTGATATGCACCCCAGTTGCTGCCTGGGCGTGTAATCGATACGGGCGGCGCGTAGGCGTCTGGATAGGGCTTATTCTTCTATTAGCTGGAACCGTAATGGGTACGGCTGCGTCGTCCGCCAACGTCTTCACTGCATCTCGTGCAGTGATTGGTTGTGGTATGGGATGGGTAAGCAACACGGCCCCTATCCTACTCAGTGAGATTGCCTACCCTGCACATCGTGGTGTCTTCGGTGCACTCTACATGGTCGGCTATTACGTTGGAGCCGCTGTTGCGGCCTGGGCCACCTTTGCAACACAAGCGTATGACGGTCCCTGGGCATGGAGATTGCCGGTTCTTCTGCAGATGCTCCTTCCTCTCATTGCCGTTCCTGGGTTTGCGTTCATCCCAGAGAGTCCTCGATGGTTGATATCTAGGGGACGTATCGAGAAAGCCCGTACAGTTTTAGCTGAGCTGCACACCGGTGGTGATGCTACTGCACCTCTTATCGTGTATGAAGTCCAGAATATCGAAGAGATAATTCGAGCGGAGCATAACGCGGCTGCTTCATCTGGGTACATGAGCGTAGTCAAGTCTCCGGGAGACCGCCATCGGCTCTTCATCACGATTACGCTCGGAGCATTTGCACAATTATCGGGTAACGGGGTAGTCTCCTACTACCTTTCCATGATCCTAAGGTCTGTTGGGATTACACACGCACGCGACCAGCTATTGATCTCGGCCTGCCTGCAAGTCTGGAACGTTCTTTTCGCAGTGCTTGGCGCCTCGCTGGTCGAAAAGGTCGGTCGGCGGGTTTTGTTCATAACCTCGGCCAGCACCATGCTGGTAGCCTTCATCCTCATCACTGCCTTGTCAGGCGCCTTTGCCAGCACTGGCAAGGGTTCAGTTGGTATTGCAGTTATCCCATTCCTCTTTGTATATTTCTTGGGATATGATATTGCGCTGTAGGTGATCTCATGCTAGACTATCGTCCAACTATTGCGATCATTTCTGTTTATGTATGACTGAACTAATGCTAACTGGTAGGACACCTATGCTCACGGCATATCCATGTGAAATCTGGCCCTTCAGTCTCCGCTCACAAGGGCTCAGTATGGTATGGCTGTCTGCCATTGGATGCACGGTGTTCAACACGTTTGTCAACCCGATCGCGCTTTCGGCTATCCACTGGAAATACTATTTTGTGTTCGTGGCCGTGTTGGCCGGATACTGGTTCTCGGCGTATTTCTTTTACCCAGAAACTCGCGGATATAGCCTCGAGCATATAGCCGGTATTTTTGACGGGAAAGGTGCCGACGTGAGACGAGAAAATGAAGAGAAAGCCGAGCCGGTGGCTGCACCCGTGGCTACAGAGTCGGAACATATACATTTCTAAGGTTCAGATCGCCATGTTGGAACACAGCCAGCAATGAGGTTAGACTAGAGCACCTGTGTGAGACAGACCGGTCTCATGTAGGTTCGATGATAGTAACTAAATCAGTTAGTCATTAGACCACCTACTCCAAATAGCAACGGAAGAAGAGAAGCCCATCCCCAGTTTTCGTATTTCTTCGGTAAACCGACAATATTTATCGTCTTCTCATACTAGGACAACTAGTTTCTTTCCTCGCCATCATATAGACTCAATACATGTCATACTATCCAAATAGACCGGCCACAAAAATGACCTGATATTGTCTTAAATCCGCCGGGATCTGTGCAACCATAAGCAAGCCAGCATCTGGTAACTACTAGCTCGCCGCAGATCGAGACAACCGAAATTCAAGATGCCATCGCGGATAGGAAACTATCATCATTAGTCTCTTCCGGAATTTCTGGGTAGAAAAGATGTATCCCACTTCTATGTGGCGAACATGATAGCTTGAGGTAGTAATTCCATTCTTACAAGAAGTGTCACATTCGATTGGATATTGTAGCATGGAAGTCGTCACTAAAGTTCGTAAATTCCGCTCAAACCAGATCTAACAAGTTCTGGTGACCGTGAAGAACATCAAAAAGAGACAACAAACGAATATCATAGATAGTTTACCATAATCTCGATTTGTAAACCCCATTGAATAAGTTAGCTGTCAAATCACCAAATCAATATAATTAAATCTAGTTATAGATCATCATGACTAATCATATCATATCAACCCCGCGATAAGCTAGCTAGCTAGTGGGGGCAATCACATCACGTGTCCCTCACCCACCGAGCTACCCCTCTCATCACCATTACAATCACCACCACCATTCCACCCAATTGACCCATCCACCACACAAACCAACCCTTCATACACACCTGAAACCCATCTCCCAGAGGCAAAAAGAAAAAAAAAACAAACAAACAAAATGCCCACCCTCCAAACCAGCACCCTCGCCTTCCTCGGCGGCGGCAACATGGCCTCGGCCATCATCTCGGGACTACTCCGCCAATCCGTCCCTGCCAGCAACATCCACGTCTCCGAGCCCTGGGAAGTGAACCGGAACAAGATCGCCGCGCTGGGCGTGAACGTCACGACATCCAACACCGAGGCCGCGTCCTCTGCCGACGTTGTCATCCTGGCCGTGAAGCCGCAAGTCGCGAAGACGGTGTGCGAGGAACTCCGTCAGGAATGGACGGCTACGGCGAGAGCGAAGTTCCCGATTGTGGTGAGCATTGCGGCGGGGATTACGCTGGAGAGCTTGCAGAAGTGGTTGAGTGTTGAGGGCGGGAAGGTGGCCCCGGTGGTCAGGGTTATGCCGAATACGCCGGCGTTGGTGACGGAGGGGGCGAGTGGTGCGTTTGCTGGGGTGGAGGTTGAGAAGGAGGAGAAGGGGTTGGTGGAGGCGTTGTTGGCGAGTGTTAGTCGGGTTACGGAGTGGGTGGATAGGGAGGAGTTGTTGGATGTGGTTACGGGGTTGTCAGGTATGTATTGTTTTTTCTCTTTGGGGTTTGGTTTTTGGGGAGGGGAGTGGGTGAGGCTAATGGTTGATGTGTGTGATAGGATCCGGTCCCGCGTATTTCTTCGCTATGGTTGAGCATCTGGTTGCTAGTGCGACGGCTCTGGGTTTGACTAAGGAACAGGCTACGAGGCTGGCCGCGCAGACTTGTCTCGGTGCTGGAAGAATGCTGGTTGAGTCGGATGATGAGCCTGCTCAGCTGAGGAAGAACGTTACTAGCCCGAATGGCACGACGTATGCCGCGTTGCAGACTTTTGAGAAGCTGAACTTTGCGGATATCGTGGATCAGGCGGTTAAGGCGGCCACGGATAGAGCTGCGGAGTTGGGTGAGAGCTTGGGAAAGCAGTAATGTATGATATCTGTCATGAGGTATTGGTGTATATGAGACGATAGCAATGCCGTTCTCGGTCTATTTCGGTGCCATGATGGCGTGTATGTATCACGCAACGGGTTGTAGGATACATCTTGCTAGGCCGTTTCTGCATGGTGTGCAAGGCATTACAAGAATCCCATAATGACATCGTACGACAGTCCATCTATAGACTCAGGTTCGCCTAGCTCGAATAGGTCAGAACTTCCCTGTGTAGGAGTCAACTTCTATTCATCCAGTAAAGAATCTAGCTAGAAACTTACTATGAACTCATCATCCCCACTTTCCACCGGTGTCCCCAGTGACACCAGCTCTAGTTCATACTTCTGATCTAGCTTCGACAGCATACGATGTTTCAAAACCGCTACGCACAGTCTGTCTGGCTTTGTCGTTGATTTGTATGTCTCTGCGACTAGTTCTTTGTTCCGACCTTTTAGGGGTGTCACAATCTGGGCATACAGGAATTGCATGAGCAGGTATCCCTTGACATTGGTCTCGCCGGACAGGATGCGGTCGAAAGCCCAGCTGGTGGCTTCTCCCAACACAGGTTCTACTGATAGAGCTCTAGCTCCGAACTAGCTTCGACTTCCGCAGTAAAGCCTGAGGCCGGACTGTCTCCACCCGTCACACTAAGCCTATTCTAGACTCCGCGTTCCTGGACCTTATTGATATACTCCCTGGATTCATCTCTCTTCTTTATTCGTGCTTTAGTTACACTTCGAAACATGGATACAGAATTCCGCGATGACCTACTCCAAAGCTACTCCGATGCAGAACTTATCCGGCACATCGTTTCATCACCTCCTGCAGACTCCTCTCTAATGAGTCGAGTATCCTCCCTCTCTCCAAAATATATCTCCAAGTCCTATCTCAACCCATCCGAAGCCGAGGATTCAATAAAAGCCACCGAGCTAGCTCATAGCTTAGGGATACCCTGCCCTACAATACGAAGGATAGTCACTAGCGACCGGAACGTATACAGCATTATGGACCGAATTGAGGGGTCAACACTAGAAGATATTTGGACAAGCCTAGGATGGTTCCTAACAATAAAGTTAGCTCTCCAACTCCGTCGCATCATAAGAACCCTCAGATCAATAACCTCACCCACCATCGGATCCCTCGCAACCGGTCAATGCACATCCTTCTGGCTAGATGACCTCTACAGCCTCCCACCACGCTCCGGACCACCCGAGCTCTCTCGCTTTCTCCACTTCTGGGGTAACTTCAGAGGCATGAGAACGGCAATAGAAACCGGAAAGCGGGGTGAAATCCTCACTGGTACTGCATACATTCCTTCTGCTATGGGTCCCTTCGTCTTGACACATCATGATCTGGCGCCGCGGAATCTTCTCCTCTCGCCCTCTGGGGAGCTTTGGCTGCTTGATTGGGATCTTACGGGGTTTTATCCTGTTTACTTTGAGTATGCGTCCATGTATAATTTTATCATACCTCAGACTTGGGGTTTGTTTGCTCGATGGCGTTAGTACCTGTTTACGTGGATTGCGGCTGGCTCATATAGACGTGACTATAAGGTCTTGGCTTCTATTCAGTCGCGGTTTACTCGTTTTCGGGCTGGGAGGAGGTTTGAGCTACTGAATGTTGGTGGACCTACTAGACGGCGAGTTTCGTAGGTGTTATACCTCATGGCGGAAGATAGCCTTTCACGTCAAGTACAGTTGTCAAGAACATGTTTCAAACATATCCCTCCTTTTCACTCATCATGAATTCCATAAGCCCTTAACCAGACCCGTATCTGTCCATACTAACATACCAAAGTCCCACTGGTGTTCCTCCCACCTAATAAACATACCGGAAATTCAAATTCTCCTTGTCAGTCAGATCCCCAAATGCGACCACATCATCCCCGTCCCCACTACCAACCCCAACTCCATCCCCATCCTCCCTGATCCTCATCTTATCCCTCCTCCGATTCTCCCACGCCAACACAACCCTCAGCACCCCAATCAACGCAATCTCAATAAAATTCGCCACAACCATGGACCAAATCCCCAAGGTATACCGCGGTGCCTGCTCGGAGCGATAGAAGAACGGGCCCGCAATGTTACCCGCACACACGCCGAGGAAGATCATCGCATTGGTGACGACCTTCTTTGTATGGCCTGCGATATTTCCCGTTAGAATAGACAGGATGAGCACGAAGGAGGCGTTGTATGAGCCTGTCAGGTAATAGCAGATTAGACGGCCGACTTGGTTAGTGGCGGGGAGGAAGGCGAGGCCGAAGGAGCCGGCGAGGTTGGGGAGGAGGAAGAAGATGGCGGTTAGGCAGCGGTTGTTGGGGGGGAGGCGGTCGTTGATGAAGACGGCGATGATGATCATTAGGGAGGTGAAGGCGCCGTAGGGGATTTGCATTAGGGTTGTTACCACTGCCATTGTGTTGTTAGTGGTACTACTACTAATACTTCACATATATATATTCAAGCCGGGATAGGTGAGGGTAATACGTACGTGTTGAAAAACCAAATCCCTGGATAATCAGAGTGCCAAAGTTAGATATTCCTCCATTGGGAATGTTGCCTGACAGGCCGAGGAGCAGGAATACCCAGACTTTCCAGTCGAGGAGGGCTTCGAGGACTTGGGTCGGCTTGAGGGTTTTGTTTTCAACACCGGTTTGATTTTCGCGGAGTCGCTCGATGGTCAGTCGTCTTTCTCGAGTGGAGAAAGTACGGGCATTGACGGGGGAATCGGGAAGGAAGATTGTGATGAGGATACCCCAGAATGCACAGAGGGCGCCGATGATCAGAAATTCGTACTTCCAGGAGGCGAGGGCGCCATTGATCTGCCCGATTCCATACCCTAGCAGGCCACCCAGGGCAATTCCAGCACCATTCGCCGTGTACCAGATTCCAATGCGGATGGGCTGCTCGCGTCGAGTGTACCACATGCTGGTAATGAGCATGAAGGCGGGATCACTGTGTCGTTAGCTACCATTTCTTACATACTGTGTATAGCACTTACCTGCATGCTTCAGCGGCCCCAGATATCACCCGCAGAACAGCCAGCTGAGTGAAGTTCTTTGCCACAGCTGCTACTATTAGACATACGATAGATTTGATTGTGCAGTGTACTCACCCTGTAGCATCAGAAAGAATCCCCATAGGAAGATATTCACGCCTAGGTACTTGCCCACAGGGAAGCGCTGAAGGAGGAAGTTTGTAGGCAACGCCCAGACGAGGAAGCCAAAGTAGAAGACAGAGGACAGCCATGAGTATTGCTCGCCCGTCAATGTCAGATCCTCCTTGATGCCAAAGATTGCTGCATACGACAGTGTAGTTTTGTCAATCTGTCCGTGTCAGAAGATCCCATCCGAGGAATCTGCACACTCACGTAGTAAAACGCATAGCAGACTGAGAGAAACGGTAGGATGACCCAGTCTATCTTGCGCACTAGTTTCTTCAATTCTTCAGGCTCAGCTGATTCCAGTTCACCGCCATCTGCAAGGAGGGCGAGTGCCGTATCTCCA